TATTTAATGACAGAAGAAGAGCTGGAAACAGATCATCTAATGGTGATACTATGGCAAATATACGAGAGTTAATCCTTTTGCTTTCACTGTATTTATTCCTTGCCTGGTTTTAGTGAGGATGAATAATGGCCATGTCTTGCAACACCTCGGTAATAGTTCAGCAGGACTGCTGTGACCTTTCCTGGCTGGACCAGTACTGATTAGCTGCAGATTTCCATGTATGATCAGGTGACAAGCCAGGCTTGCAGAGTCTGAACTGTTGCAGTTGCTGTTGAGGAATGTAAAATGACAATTTCTGCTGCTCTTTGAAGGCAAAACTAATAAGTTGGTGGAAATTTAGAATTGAAGTGCATTTCTTTAATTACTCCTTCTGATTTAGATTTTGCATGTCACTACATATGTATGGACCGTGCTGAGCTAGGAACGCTGCATTTTGGTTTTAGCTTTTGAACCTCCCAGAAACTTATGTCAAAAATGAATCTCTCAAGGTAATCTAAAATGTAGACTTCTTAACTGATGTGAATGGCAGCCTTCCTGTTTTAAATTACAAGTTGTAAAAAGAAAGTTACATTGTCAATCAGACAGCAAATGGTGCTGCACTGGCTTTTCTTGAAAAACAAGCAATGGGTAAAAAATTACTTTATGGTAGGATTGAATTAAAAACAAAAAAATCCTTATCAGTGTAATATGTTTTCTGGTCCACCTAGACTCATCTGTTTTAATCTGTTCCAGCTATGTCACATTTCCCATTTTTTAAAATTTAAACTAGTCCTTTTAAATGTGCATGTGTATGCATACATACAAATGTGAGTACATATATACAGACATATATATGGAAATATTTTCTGCACATAAGCAGAGATAGAATTAAAGTGACACTGTAAATGATACTTTATTTTTGAGCAGTATTACTAATATGAGGCACATTCCCATTCTCTCTATTCCAAAATCTTACTTTTCATTTTAAAAAAACCTACAAAGCTTCTCTTGTTCCTATAGTTACAAAGAAAAAAACAAACTTTTGACAACAATCAAGTGTAATCAGTAGACTTGTAGTCACCTTCAAGCAGCTGAAAAACAGACTGCAATGGCAGAGAATTGTCAAAGAGAAATATTGGCACTGCTTCATTCAGAAAGGCTTCGAAGGGGACAGTCCCCAAGGACATGACAAATATTACCAGAGGAACCTGTTCTCTGGCTGACCAAAGCACAGAATGGAAGCATGGGAGAACACCATAGTGAAGATCTTCACTATTTAATGTGACATTTTATCTTAGTGGTGCTGGCAACAGTCTACTGGAGTACATTTGTAAAAACAGAAGACTTTCACTGGGAGTAGCATCTCCATGGAAGGTTTCTGAGATTCTCAACACAGAAAAAATGTTCTTTCCACCTTCCCTTTCCATTCAGTTCCTGCTTCTGAGCCACATAAAATGTGTGGCTCAATGAACCAGTCTGTGGACTGGCTTCCAGAGCCAATATGCTGTCACATAGCTCCCATATTAGTCCAGAAATCTTCCTTATGTTTATGGAATACAGTTAGTTTTTGTTCTTTACTCAGATTTTCCCCGACTCTTTAATGGCAGTGCATGACTACAATGTTCCTGTGTAGGTTTACTATGCACCTGCATTATCCTCTTTGTCTAGCTAAAATTAAGTTGGGGACACAGCTGAGGTTTGGGGTTGGATTTCTCCTATATGTTCAGAAAACCCCATCAGAGCAAAATAAAGAGCCAGGTATCTTCCTATGCACATTAATGTATCACGTGTGCTCAGGAAATCTGATGCATTCAGGAAACACTGGTCTTACCAGGTGTGAGCAATACAGCTGTGCAGAGCACTCACAGCATCACATCAGACCCTTTCCCAATCTGCACTGAAGCAAGAATTCACATGAAATTACAAAGTTTTACATTTTCTAAGCACTCTGAAACCTTCTGGAAAATCAAGATCAATATAAAAATCCTACTTCTACATAGATGCTCTGAAAAAGGGGAGTCTGAGCCATGCAGCTCTGCAGTCCACATTTTAAGAGAGATTAGTGTAAGATATAAGATTCTTCTTACACATACAAAGGATAATCATCACAAATTCAATCCTTCTTCAAGCACACCTCAGCCCAGGAGCTGTGAATTATAACCTCTCACCCCATACGGCACACAATCAGTATTCAGCTGCCAAGTGCAGTGCTAGTTTTATGCCGGAGTTTTCAAAGCACCAGGTTCCAGTGAATAGGCACAGTCTTCTCTTTTCTGGCTCCCCACTAAGTAGTGCCTGCAGAACATGCCAGAGAAATGCTGAAAGGTCAGGGGGTAACAGCGAGCAGGAAAGCAAATTCTCATGGCTCTATCGACAGGACAGGGTGGATGCTTTTCCCTGTTACCCCACAGTCCCAGTCTCTAGGTGCACATCTGTGTGTCAGGGCAAAACATCAGTGAGCAATCTCACTCTCCTACAGAGGAAATCTTGAGCATATAAACAAGGTGCATTTCGGTAGGTTTCCTCTCCTACCGTGGGGGACAACAAACACTGTAATGTGGGGATTTGCTTCAGAGTCTAGTTGCAACCATTGTATCCCAAATTGTATTAATATTATATCTACTTTCTATAGGCCAAAGGTCAAAAACTTTTCTGTCATGAAAGCCTTTTCCAAAAGCAGTGTGGAAATGGTGTGATTTGTAATATGTTACAAGCATTTCAGAGAGAGGACAGTAGGAGATCTGTCCCTGTGGCTTGTCCTTCAGGCTGCTCCATTCCACAGGTAGCTGTCATCCTGCAAATTTTATGTGGAAAACTCACAGGACAGCAGACCTGAAGAGAATTGCAGGCAATGACTTAACAGCAAAAGCTTTTCACCTCTCTACTGCTATTTTTAAAAGGGCTTCAGAAGCCTTCAGGAAGAAAAACACACTTAAATGGTAGTCTACCTAAAATCTAGCCTTGTGCATGCTGACCTGAATAGCAAATCTGGAAGGTGTCAACAAGGAGGTCACGCTCTAAATTAAAATTTATACCCTCCTATCAGGCATAATACAGGTCTAAATCCATCTCCCTGGACTGTGTCTGGATCAATGCATAGGAGTCAGAGTCCAACCTGCTCTTTTTCCTTTTTGCCCCTGGTTACCTTGCAGAAGTGGTTAGACCACTTCAAGGGGAAAAAAATGATTCAATTCAATCAGATGAGTGATGTCTAATCCAGGAAGTTCCCAGGACTAACCAGATACAAGTGCTCACAGCAGGGCATGAATCGATGCAGGAGGATGGCTTCTTTCTAGACACCTGTGAACATTGTCTTATACCTCCTTACCTTTGAATGCAGGCAGCTGCAAAGATATAATTTGAATGCAACACTGTCACTGGAACAGGTTGCTCAGAAAGGCTGTGGAGTGTTCATCCTTGGAGACATTAAAACCTTACTGGATAGAGTTCTGGGAAACCTCCTCTAGCTGACCATGCTTGAACATGGGGCTTCAATGAAACAATCTCCAGGTATGCCTTCCAACACCAAGAATTCTGCAATTCTATGGTTAAAACATAAGTAATAAAATAGAAAGTTGGGGGGAATTATACTTTTATGTGAATAAAAAAGTCCTAGAGAAAAATTAAATTTCTTTGAATCAGATTTATGAAATGTATTTATTGTTCCAGCCACGAAACTTTAAATTCAGTTATAGTCTTATTTCAAGTTACTGAACTCTTCTAAATTCTAGCTTTGTTTTCAGTCTATTGCGGTACAACAGAATTGATGGATGTGTGTGGCAGCAGTGTGACTGGATGTGAAATCATGTGCTTTCCCCTCACATGAAGAGGCATTTCAGCAATGACTAATCATGTATTTTCTCCTTTGCCAGCTATTCACAGAGGTTTTAATTTGCAAGGCAAGATTTCTTATTCTTTTTATTGTCATAGGAGTGAAGTCTTTTATAAGTGACATTTACTGAGGGGACTGGGTGCAGATTTGTCTGAGATGTGTAGGAGATGGGCTGATTCCATATGTTATCAATCTGACTTCAAGAAGTCTCAGAAATAAGTCTTCCAAGTGAAATTTATTGAAGTCCTGAATTGTTTTCCCCTGAAGCATTTAGTTCAGTAGATCTTTATCAATCTATACCTGTACATACATGAAAATCCATACACAAGGACACATGTTTACAACAAATTGCTAAGACTCTCCACATCTGAGGTTGTTTCTGCATATTCATGAATACACCTAAGGGCTGAAATATCTTTTCTGTGTGACAGAATTTGCCCTAATAATTTGTACAGTATATAATTAAAAAAAAAAAAAAAAAAAAGAAAAATATTTTTGTGCAAATATTTATTTCATAGTTCCCTGAAATGTTCTTGGTGTATTTAATTACAACAGATGCTATTTTATTTTGATGAAGAAAATTATAAAATCTTACAGAATCTTTCAGGAGAAGTGTATGAGAAGACTGGAAATCTCACAAACTACTGCATTTTTTTTTCTATTGCTCATTGACATGTTTCTTATCATCGCATCCTCCAGGTCCCAGAACGATCATAATATTGGGCAAAATTACTAAATAATAATTGGAAATAGACAGCAAGCTGGATGTTGAAATACAGGTTCCTATCATTAATTTATTATTTATTTCTGATTGTGATTTATTTATGGTAAAAACCTTTACAAGAGATGAATTAAGTTTCTTATCTTGATTAGGCAAATTCACTACACATCTATTCACCACACACCTTTTCTTTTAACTTGGTACACAATCTATTAAAGCCTGTTTCAGTAGACCAGCAAGACATCCCTGTTCCTTCTTATATTGATTTACAAATTTGCTGCATGTATCAGTTTTTCCTTCAGGTCTTTTGTCTCATAAAGAGAGCTTCTTCAACCAAAGTGGAAAATATTGGCCATCAAAATGAACTTGAGTATTTACCATTAATGATACCTTATTTTTCCAAGGGCATCCAAAGCACAACAAGATCTATACCATCAGTGACAATCATCTCTAAAACACAATGTTTTTACCATACACACTTAATAAAACAGTGAATTCAATTAAACCAAATAAATTATACTGTTCTTAGCAATATCACTTGTTCCCCTAGTGTAAAGAATGAAATTCCTATTTGGCATTTTATTAATGGTAGTGGAAAGAGAAATTATATATTTCCTCTAGTTACCCTCCTCCCAGAGCTCTTTCTTCAGGCCAATTTGTTCTTTGTCTAACATCTTCTTCTAACATTCTTGGTTTGGAATCCAAGGTTGTAAAATAGGCAGGAGCAAAATCTGCAAGATGAAGCAGTGTTTTAGATGCAGCTCAGAGTAGGACTATCTCTGAACTGAACAGACTCATTGCCTCTGCCTGTGTCATGCAGGGGTTAATTGACAGCTCTTTAGGCAGGAGAAGTGAATGTGTAGTTCAAGCAGTTAAACACAACTGGTTCTGATCTTTCTCCAAGGTTCTGTTTCACATTCTGAACTTTCAAATAAAAAGATTCCCAGGCTGTTAAATAGATCATTGTTAAGATGTCAAAGTTATTCTCTTAATATTTTTTAATGAAGTCTCATTTGCCCTTTGTTCATTAGACATCTGTAACAATGGCTGAACGCTCACAGTGACCAGAGCTTAGAAAGCGTGTTCAACTTTCTGCCACTGTTTGAATCACTGCAGTGCAAAATGCACCTGATTTACAAGGGTTTGAGTTGGGCTTTCCTTCACTTTTGATGCCCAAACACATGACTTTCTACAGCCACAGTGTGAGGAGTTTCCATTGTGAGACTTTTCCAGTGTTTGTGTCATATAAAGTGGTGCTAGAGGAATAAAGAGCATTAGAAAAACTTCCTGCTTTGGCTTCCTCCTTTCACTAGGAATTCTCTAATTCTCTTTCAAAAAAAAAAAGCAATCCATCAGCATTTTATAGATCAAAATGCATTTTGATCTGAAAAAGTTAGTTGCAGGATTTTTCATAATCAAAGTATTCTCATAACCTCCTATTGCTGAAGAATGAAAAATTACTCCTAATAATAAAATTATTAAAAAATAAAAACCTGATTATATACATTTTGTATCATTCCACAACATCCCAAAGTTTTCTGCAAATTCAAATAGCTTGACATTTATATTAAGCTTAAAACCTCATTGATCCAGTTCTGCAGAGCAAGACATCAGAGCCCCACTGATAATTTCTGTCTCTCAAGAGCAGGCTCTGGATAAATTAGCAACACTATTAATCATAATAATACATCTATGTCTTGGTTCTGAGATTCTTGAGATGTTTTCCAGAAACTGCAAACTGGCATGATGTTAGCCAAAAAAACATTAAAGCATGGATCTTAATTCTCCAGTGAATCCTTCAGAAACTGAATAGCTCTCACAGCATAATATTTCTGACAGGAAATATACACTTGAGATGTTTTAAGCCTGAAATATCACATACACAACAGAGCCTTAGCCTGAGAAGCCTCCCCTGTTTCTGAGATCATAACAGCAGTATTATCATTAAGAGGATAAAATGCCACTTCCTTGCTTCCCATATCCCAATCCAAATGAAATGTGAGTCACTTAATGAATTTCATCTAAGCCTAATGGAACAATTTCAGCCTGTCCTGGACAACTCTCCTGCCCAATTCCCTTGCACACATTATTTCTGCTCTCTTGGTTTTCATATCCGCCTCTGCCCAATCACTTGTGGCAGGTTCTACTGGTAAAGCAAATGCTTTGCTGCTGTTTTTCCCCTTAGAATTACAGACCACTGAAGAAGTAGCCTGAAACATTTCCACTGGAGAAAAATGTGATGAAATTGTTAAAGGTTCAGCAGCCTTGAAACACAAGTAGACTATTGGCATGAGGATTATTCCCAGACATGATCTTTCCTTTGGAACCAGGTATCGAAGTTTGCAATGTTTGTTCTCTTCATGCCTCCTTGGCATAGCCTGTCTCTCTGGCTGACTTTCTTCCTTTCTTTATCTGAAGCTGGCATTTTTTCCACTCTCAATAATTAAGCTGTCTCGATGCTAGAGACATGCCTATTTTATCACATGTATGTCTCGTACACAGTTGAAAAAGGAGAACTCCAAGGGAGAAGGCGGCTGGCGTCTCTGCTGTTGAAACGGTTTCAATCTGGCCTGAATACTTTGCCTGCAGTGCTGCAACCCACAAGGGGGTCTTAACCTCTGAAACCTGCTGACTCAAGAGTAATTGGCCAGCATGATGCCACTGTGACCATCAAGTGGAACAAATAAAATTACCCACCATTTCAGTGCCATGATTGTCCTCTCCCACTGCGTGATTCCATGAATCCCCCCGAGGACTGACCTGCTTATAATAAACAAATTGTTTTCTGGGCTCCTTTTCCATTGCCTGTAGGGGAGTAACAAGAAGACAGAGCCAAGCTGTGTTAACTATATTTAATGGTCTTTTTTCTTTTCCTTAAATTGCATCAGATGGTGAAGATGACTAGATGCACTATGATCTTTTAAAACTATATCCTCAAGAAGCAAACAATTGGAGAACTGCATCTCTACAAGGAAAGTCAAGTTTACATAGTGATATAAAGTCATAAATTTCAAGAATTCAAGAGGATTACACATATCCAGGTTGGATGACTTAATTCCTCTTCCTGAGAACGACAACTTAAAAGCAGGGATTCTCTTACTCTATACACAATTTTGTAATTTGTTTGCACGAGAGCAAGCTGTTTACACTGTGTTACATAAAGGTTGTTGCCAAAAGTTACTATCTCCTATAACAGTGTAAAACCAGAATATCTCTCATGATGGCAGTGACTTTAATCAGATACACACCAGCGTAACCGAGAGCTAAATTTGGTTTTACACCCCTGTCTAAAAGAAACTCACTAAGGATCAGAGGGGGAGTGCTAGGGGGAGGGCAGGATAGTGGGGAAGGAGGTAGTTCTTGTTCTCTTGGTTTTCCTTCTTTATGACTATGTAACAGCATCCCCAATATATGAATTCATGCAGAGGAGATAATATGGCCTGCTAAACACATCAGCAGGACAAGTAGTGTGAAACTTTATTTTAGTGTTTTCAGTAACTGCCTGAGCTGATAATGGCCCTAATGTGGCCACAATTGACTGCAGAAGTGAAGATTTAGTCCCAGTCCCATAAAGTTTTGTACTAACACTGTGTGAAATTGTAGTTATTTTGAGTTTTCAGCCGTCCATTGAACAAGAGCAGAACTTGGAACATGAAGATATATGTGAACTGCTTCTTTAGCAGAAGCAGGCAAGCAGGTAGAGGGGCCCAACGACTTTTGCAGAATCAAATAATGATACAGAATAAACTGAGACTGAGAAGTACAGTGAGCTACCCTGCCGTGACTAACAATAACCATCTTAAAAACTGTTGATGTATTTCTGAAAACACAGTTTGCTGTTTGTTGCCAGCTATTTCATTTAGACCCAATTCACTTAAATTACGTGCCTAAATGTAGGCAGACTATTAAGCCCATTGTTAAAACAAGGCCTTGAAAAACCAAGAAAACACTAATACTTTCTCTTCCCTGCATTTTTTTAATTGTTATTTGTGATCACTTTATATCACTGCTAAATCCATTTCACTTTGCTCATTAAGGTATTTTGAGGGGTATTTTACACACAGTTTCAGTTTTCTTTCTGAGTTTTGAAACCAATGCAGTAAGTGTATTTTAAAAAATAGAAAGAGTATTTATCTTATTCTTTCCATCCAAAGTAATCTCCAAGTCTGAACAGACCATTTAATCTGGAACAGTTCTTGTAAATTGGAGGAGTCTGATCCCTGTTTCAAATTTAGTATGCATCCTCCTGTTCATTTTATTTCCCAGCAGATAAGGAGTAGATCAAGTCTGCAATGCTTATATTATACAGAAGTCTTCTCCTTATCTACATGCAGTTTATTTCTTCCTAGCTACCCTTTTGCTGCTGCAAACTTTTGTATGTCAAGCAAGGGAGAAAATAAAACCAGAGAATCTTGTATTTGGGACCCTAAAACTGCCCAAGATGGGAACGACATATCAGTTGTGCTTTTCACCAGTCTGCTTCTCTCATTTATATTCTGTTACATTACTCCTCCTGGCTGTTTCAAATCCTACTTTCAAGTGGTTTATAGTCACAGTTATGAAGCACATTTGTCTACATCTCTGCTGTAAGGAAATAACAAGCATTAACTGGTGAATCTACTTGTCTTATACATGAAGCATCATTCTCAGTCAGACTGTGTAACAGATAGATAAAACATGTGATACAAGAATTCCTTTCTATAAATAAACCCATGGAAAAATAGTCCTCATCACTGTGCAGTATTTGATTCACAGTGGAGAGCTCTTTGGGATTGGAGGAATGCATCACCTCATGGAAAGGATTTGAGACCTCAGGGCTAATATGCACCTGAGTATCACAATCAAAATTGTTCAGTGCCCAGACACGTGTAACTTATCATGTTATGGTGCAATCATAAGCTTAAGCCCCCATATGTGAAAAATTTTCCAAGTATTTTCATAGCCAGTCGGCAGCTCATGCATTTGCCATATCACACACACAATATGTAGATCATAGGCTGCCCACAGAGGTCTTTTATCATTCACAGAGCTCTTTGGCTCTCTGCTCCAGAGGGTTTGGAGGACTGTCACCTGTCACACAACCTTCTGATTGCATAGCATACAAATGCATACACAAACATATTGAAATTAGTTGTATTAGCTCAGTCTTTCAAAGATCTTTGCTGATTCCCAGACCATTTGGGCAGACTTAAGCAAACTGCCCAGCAAGGAGCTGCTTGAACACCAGCAGCAGAAGGATGCTGGCTCCTGACACACCAAGCTCCCTGACCAGGCTGCCAGAAACTGTCAGCTTGGGCACAGACAGGTATGTTGAAATCTGGAACAGAAGACATCTGCACAGTTGGTTTTAATGCCTTAGGAACTATGGAAGGCTATAGACTTTACTAGGAAAGAGAGAAAACAGATACAAACATGAAGAACAATCTCTGGCAGATAGCTCTGCCTCTCTGTGAAATGGAATCCCCAAATACTCTGGCAAGAAGATAGATCGTTATACCACAATGACAAGCATTAGTCGCAGGTCTCGGTTTTTCAAAGGAACTAAGTTTAAAAATAGACTTC